TAAAATGCATAAGAGACAGATTGATTGGTAAATGAACAGATGCATAGATGTGTAATAAAATGAGTATAATAAGGTGTTGGTGCAGAATCTAAGTAGTTGGTATAGAGAAGTTAAATGTAAGGTTTTCTGTGTGTTAAAATTTTTTCATGATAAATTTTCAAAAATCACATTATAAATTAAATTTCACAACCACACTGAGTCATGAAAAAGTTAGCAATTGGATCCCTTAGAAACATTTATGTGTTTATTAGGTTTATACTAAAATATCCTTTGTACCATTATTCAGAATAGCACTGAAAATAGAAACAGTCCAATCTTTATCAATAGTAAAATGGAAAGTGTATATTATAGTGCATTCATAGAAAATAATACTATAGAGTAGTGAATATGAGTGAATTACATGGACTGTCAAAGCATAATATTGAATTTTAAAAGACACAACTACATGTATGTATATACTAACATGTATGCATATGTATATATATTCTATAATATATAAAGATGATTTCATTCATATGAAGTTCAAAAATAGACAAATATAAACTACATTTTAGTGATGCATATCTTGATGGTTAAGAAAACCAAGGAAATGTCACAAATGTCATACTAGTGCTTAGCTTTTGGGAGAGGGAGAATATTTTGATCAGGGAAGGCACAGGGGGCCTTGGATACTCCTAGTCTTCTATTTTTTTACTTGAATGGTGATTACATGTGCAATAATTTGTTATATTATGCATACATGTTTTATGTATTTTATAGGTGTTAAATTCTTTTAAAAAATGAATGTTTAATGATGATACTTAGCATCATGGTAGTCAATAATTAGTTTGGTGAAGTTATACTAACCCAATCTGTAGGATTAAGAGTTGTGAAAACAATACAGTAATTTATCAAATCTAATATACCATGGGATACACAACATCTTTATTTCAGAGATGTCAGAATTGATGAAATAGGGTGGTAGTAGTGATAGAATAGTAGTGCATACAGATAATTCTTACCATGTGTCTTGGTTACTTTTCTCATTCCTGAGACAAAATACCTGACACCTAAAATTAAAGGAGGAAAGGTTTATTTAGCTCCCAGTTTGTAGAAGTTTCAGTCCATAATCAGCTGGCTTCAAGGCAGGGTGGCATATGGCAGAGGGGCATCACAGAGGAGAAAAAGCCAGTTCACTGCAGGCAGAAGGCAGCAATAGCAACAAGCTACAAGCAACAAGTGATGATGACAGCAGCTCTCTTTCTGCCTCTTGTATTTTATCCAGGCTACCTACCTTGGGGTGGGGGGAGTAGCACTGACACCCTTAATCCTAGCATTGCACCATGAATCACATCCTTGATCCCAGCATCACACACTGTAGATCCAGTCACCTCTGAAAAGTTCTACCTATGACTGCATGAGGCATTGGGGGGCATCTAGATACAAGCCATAATATTCCACCCCTGGCCCCCCAAAGACTCATGTACATCCCTTTATACAAAAGGCATTTAGTCTCTCTCTAAGAGTTGCGAAAGTCCTAATAGTTTTGGCATTGCTGAAAAGTGCATGTCCAAAATCTCCTCTGAGATTTAAGGCAAACTCTCAGCTGTGAGGCCCTTTACTAATGAAAAGAAAGCTAAACACTTCCAACATAAAATGGCACAAAATAGATATTTCCATTCCAAAAGGTACAAAAAGGAGGACAAAAAGGAAGGGGAACAAAGCCAAAACAAAATCCAATAGGGAAAACATTAAATTCATGTCCAGCATCTCCAGCAATCTGTGGTAAGTTGTGAACTCCAAAGGGCTTGGGTGGCTCCACCCCTACAGCACTGCTGGTGGTTGTGGCTCTCATGGCTTCTCTCTTTGACCAGCTTTGTTCACTCTTTGCAGCTTTCCTCAGACTATCCACGATCCTGGCTTTTCCAACCTTCTGGGGTCTCCACTGCACCTTTAGCTTCACACTCAGAGCTTCACAAACTTCCTTTCCATGGGCACACTATCTGGCCTCCCAGGACTTCTTCTGAAATCTCAGTGTAAGCATGCCTGACCCCACAACATGCATTCTGCATGTACCTAAAAGCAGCACCACATGGATGATGCCAAGGTTTGCTGCCAGCTGGAGCAGTAGCCAGGCTTCCTTCTCTCTTGGCTATAGGGATCAAGTTTCTGGACCATTCAACACTCTGAATCCAATCCCAAGGAACAAATTCTCTAAGCTGCTGCCATTCCGGAATATTGTGCTCTGGGGTTTTCTTCTCAAAGCAAATTCTTTCACCTTTACAACCTTGAGGCTGCAAAGGCTGGTGTCATGCTGGTTCTTGAGGTGTCTTCAGGCCATCTTTGCCATTGTCTTCTTCTGAAATACTTGGGGTTTTTTTATTGCTAGTCTGTCTCAATTTCTTCTCTGTTCCATCTTTGCAGGCTCCAGCTTTACTGGAGCTTCCTTTTTGGTCAAACTCAAAATGTTTTGGTTTTTTTTTTTGGTACCAGGGATTGAACTTGGGTCCTTGTGCTTGAGCAGCAGGCAGCGAAACCACTGAGCTAAATCCCCAGCCCAAACCCAAAATGTTTTAAAACATTCTGCTGGGCTCTTTGCTCTTGATTCTCAACATAAATCTGGCTAAAATCCCCCAACAGTAGTCATGCCATGGCTGAAACATTAGACTGCCTTGAAATTTCTTCTTCCAGATTAATTAGTCAGCTACCCTTAATCTCAGTTTCAGGCAAAGTCTCTGGACATGAGAAAAATGCAGACAAACTTTCTTCCAAGGCATAACACACATTGACTTGAGTCCAATAGCCAATACAGTCCTTCTTCCAACAGAAACCTCCTGAGCTTGGTATTTACTGGTAGGATTTCTATCAGCATTCTAGTCTTCTGAACTCTGACCTGAATCTCCCATCAGGTACAGTTTAAGGCATTCCAGGGCTGTTTTTTCAGTGGGGATCTTCCAACCTTTTCAAACTCTTTCCACAAGCCAGTTCCAAAGGCTCCTGAACCACATGGTCAGGAATAGTCACAATGACCCCACTCCTGGTACCAAATTCTGTCTTGGTTACTTTTCTCATTGTTGAGACAAAATACATAACCCTGTAGTTAAAGGAGGAAAGGTTTATTCAGTTCACAACTGACTGGCTCCAAGGCAGGGTGGCATGGCAGAGGGGCATCACAGGAGAGAGAGAGAGAGAGAGAGAGAGAGAGAGAGAGAGAGAGAAAAACAATTCACTGCAGGCAGAAGGCAGCAAAAGCAGCAAGCTACAAACACCAAGTGACAACAGAAGCAGCCCCTCTTTTTGTCTCTCATATATTTTATCTAGGCTACCTGCCCTTAGGGCAAGTAGCACTCACACCCTTAATCCTAGCATCACACCAAGAATCAATCCCAGCATTACATCCTTGATCCGAGCATCACATACCCTACCTAGGTCCACCCACCTTTGAAAACCTCCACCTATGACTGCATGAGGCTTTAGGGGGCCATCTAGATACAAGCCATAATACTATGTGGCAGATATTTTTCTAAATTTTTTACATATATTAACTCACTTAATCTCTTTTTGTTTCAAATTGCTGGGGATTGCATCCAGGGCCTCATGCTTGCTGGGCAAGTATTCTACCACTGAGCTACATACTCATCTACTCATTTAATTCTTATAAGAACTTTATAAGGTAGATATTATTATTATTATTATCATCATCATCATCATCATCATGCTCAGTTTACAGAGGATAGATTTAAGGCAACAAGAAATTTTAAAACTTGCTTAATGTCATGGATACTAAATGACAGATTCACTATCTTACTAAAATACAAGTTTTGATGTTATGTTTTCATTGGTCATTTATATATTTTGATGATAACTAGTATTTTGAAGGGCTGAATTGTTTTTAAAACAAAAACCATGAGTTAAGTACATCCCTTGTATCTTGGCACACCTTTCAGTTTCATTTTATATATTGCATTTTACTTTTCCCCATATTTTTCCTTCCACAGGAGATATCCATGTCATATATTAAATACATTTGTTTGATATATATTTTGATATATATTTTTGGATATTTTTGTATTCTTATAATATGTACTATGTTTGGGGTTTTTTTGGTACTGGGGATTGAACTCAGGACCTTGCGCTTGTGATGCAGGCGGCGGCACCACTGAGCTAAATCCCTGGCTATGTACAATGATTTGAGGGGCTAGGTTTTTTTTAATTTTGGAGAGAGAGTCTTACTATGTTGCCAAGGCTGACCTCAAACTCCTGGGTTCAAGTGACCCACATTCTTCAACCTTCTCAATAGCTGAGAATACAAGTGTGTGTCATCACATCTGGCTTTGGGCTTGCGATTTGTGTGTATTGTATGTGTTTGTAATATTTACACGTTATTAAATAGCAGTGCTAAGGTCAGAATCTTTGTGTTCCCCTAAAATTTATATGTTATAACCTAATCACATATATAATGGTATTAGGAGGGAGGGCTTTTGGGACATGATTAGGTCATGAATGTGATTAGTGCTCTTATAAAAGAGGACTCAGTGATCCACCTTGCCCCTTGCATCTTGTGTAGACACAGTAAAAAGATGCGGCCTATGAGAAAGCATGCCTTCATCAGACATAGATGGCACTAGCTGGCACCTTGATTTTGGATTTGTCAGCCTCAAAAACTGTGAGAAATAAATTTCTGCTGTTATAAGGCAACCAGTTTAAACTATTTTTGTTATAGCAGCCTGGGATAGTTGATCTTGACTGTCAACTGGATTGGGTTGCGAGGCATCAAGCACACTTTTGGGGGTATCTGGGTGGGTCGTGGGTGCATGAACTTGGGGACTGTATGTGGCCTCTGTTCTCTTCCTCAGGAATTAATTGCTTATCATATTTTAATTTATTTAAAAACTCACACATTCCTCAACATCTTCCCAGCTAAACTTACAATGGATATCTATATATTAAAATATAAACACTGAACATTATACTTTTATGTTCATTACAATCAAATGAAGAAATGTAAAATATTAACTCACCAGGGTGTTAGTGCAGTATCCTAAGGCAATTTCATGCTGAAAGGATTCTTCATATTCTAATATTTGTGGACCATAGACTTTCATAATAATATCTAGACCAGTGTTTTCTGGATAGATTATTTCAGCCCAAACTGTCAGCCTGTCTCCTTTGTCCAAAAAGTAAAATGAATCTAAAATATTATCATGAAACATCATGTATGGGCATTTTTCTTTCATTTTGAAAGCTACACTTTGTAATTCCAGCATTAAAGGATATTCCTGTGGTTGTATTGTCCCATTGTCAAAAACATATACAAGATATACTTGAGCAGATGCACTAACACAAAATGATGATTTTACTGTGTCACTTGTCCATAAATGTAGCTGTAGTGCATCTTCAATATTACTCTTGGAATAAAACATTATATTATTTTCCATTTTTGTCACAATATTCCCCTGAGAATCTGGAAAAAAGAGAAAAGCTTGTGTTATTCTAAGTATGCACACCAGCACTGAATGAATGGCAGCTCAGATGGGGAGGGAAAGTAAGGGAAACCCTCATCATATGCTTAAGAATTCTGGCTTGGCTACTGGACAGATACATATAAAGCCTGAGCAGATAGCTGACCTGAGTTCAGCCAGGTGATGGGGGACAGAAATGATAAATTCCCAACATTTTTCTGTAGACTTGGTGCCAGGATGGGGAGTGATCTTAAATAACTCCCTTTGCCTTGGTAGGTGGCATGGAAGGATAGACACTCCCATGTTTAGTATATGTCTGGGACACAACAGCCACTAGTCTTGAAGGAGGCAATGGGCAAATTCTCGAGTTAGCTTGGGCTGACTTGGTGACTGTGACACAGAAAAACTAAAATCTCGAGGACGAGAAAAATGCCCCAGTGGCTGGGCTGCAGGAGACAGGACTCCAGGCTATGAAAGCCTCAGCATGGTAGCTGCAAGATGAAACCTAGGCAGCAGTGAGTACATTCAACCAATCAGAAGGAAACACTAAAAATAAATAAATAAATAAATAAATAAATACTTTGAAAAGAAACAACTACAGTTTAAACTGCAGTTTGAACATTGTGAGAGGAATGATACAGATGTGCGAGTCTTTTGGAAATGGTGGGAGGGTAGTTCTGGAGGCTGACAGCTACTCCTCCTAGCACACCTGGCATCCAACTATTTCTGCCCTGCTCAGAGACATTCAGAGTAAATGCAGTGGTGTAGACGCTGGCCAGCCATGTCCCCAAAAGCATGGTAGGGTGATTTCTGGAACATGGGCCCATACTCTAGACCTCCCACAGACTACATGAGTCAGAGACAATCTAAATTATTCCTGTGCCCTCATTCTGAGGTACAGAAAATATTGAAGATATTTAGAGTGATACAGTGACACTACTGGCAAGCTTACCCTAGCATTCATCTGTATATAACCATAACCATGGAGGGGTAGAGCTCAGCCTCCAGACTGCCCTATACAATTTCTCTTACTCAGACAGAGGCTGAGAAGGAGAACTCTGGGCTAAAAAAGATTTTCACAATCCTCCTTATATCAGGTGGTATCAAAGAGTAGAAGTCCAGGGGAAATAATTGTGTCCATTGTAAATACTGCCATAAAGAGGAATATTGAACATGGTTTTGTGTGCATGCATGTATGTGTGTATATGTGTGTGGGGCATATGAGTGTTAGTTACTGCTTTTGCTTCTATAGCATTCTACTTTGTTTTGTCATATTTTCCCTCATCAAAGTTTGTTTCATAGAATTTTCTAATTTTTATATTAGTTCATTAATTGTACTTAATCTCTGAATATCTTCTCTAACTTTCCATTTAGATTCGTTTCCCTTCATTTTTCTTTTTCTTTTTTTTTATTTTCAGGTTGTTGTTTCCACTTGTTTTTATTTTTATTTTTCTCCCCATTAAGTTTATTGGTACATTTTTGGTATAAAATACAGTTACATTCATCATTGAGATCTTGTACCTTTACATGAGTATCTTGGTTCTTATTTTTTTCCCCTTCCCTTGCCCTCCATTCACCCCCCCGCCCTTCCCTATTTGCAA